GTCCTCTGCGGCGAGTGCTGGCTGACGAGGTGCTCCACCACGGTGTGTTTGGACATGTGCTTCATCAGGTACGTCTCCTGTGAGGGGGGGAGAGGCGGAGGGTAAGCTGCAGAGCTGAGGGGGGGGTGTAGGGGCGCAGGCGGTGTCCCGGTGCCCCCCCCAGCTCACCGAGGTATAGGCGCGGCCGCACATGCTGCAGCAATAGGCCTTGGCGTGTTTGATGGCGTGAGCCGAGAGGTGGATCTGGAGCGAGGCTGAGTCCGTGTACGCCCGGTAGCAGTTGGGGCACTTGTAGGGCTTGTCCTTGTTGTGCTGTCGCTGGTGAGACTGCGAAATGGCGGGGAGGGGGGGTTACGGCAGCCGCCACGGCTGCGCCCTCCACGCCCCGCGGGGGTCTGGGGCTCCTTGCGCCCCCCACAGCCCTCCTGGGGCTCCCGCCACCGCCCGAGTGCTGACCTGGAGGTTGGAGAGTTGCGTGAAGGCCTTTTCGCAGCCGGGGTGGGGGCACTTGTAGGGTCTGTCGCCGGTGTGGATTCTGGGACACACACACACACGTGTCAGGTCACCATCCCCTCTCTCCGCCCCCCCTGGGGACCCGCGTTGCCCCCGCTCCCCATGGAGGGGTCACAGCAGGGACTGCGGGGAGCACAGGGATGGGGGCGCCTCATCTTTACAGAAGGGGTTGTTGGGTGTTGGAATGAGCTGCCCAGGGAGGTGGTGGAGTCCCCATCCCTGGAGGGGTTGAAGAGTGGGGTCGATTTAGAGCTTAAGGATATGCTGTAGGTGGGAACTGTGCTAGGGGAACGGTTGGAGTAGATGATCTCCAGGGTCCTTTCCAACCTAGATAATACTGTGATTCTGTGATCGAGTGATGGGGGGGAAAAGGGGGGAGATGTGGGGCTGAGGGACAGGAGGTTCGGAGATGATGAAGGTGGGCAGGAGGGAGGAGCATGGTGGGGTTGGGGAAGGTGCTGGAGATGATGAGTGTGGTGGGGATGAGGAAGGTGGTGGTGACGATGAGCATGGTGGGGACAATAAAGGTGCTGGAGATGATGGGACTATGCTTGGCCTCAACGACCTTAAAGGTCCTTTCTAACCTAAATGATTCTGTAATTCTGTGACTCTATGACAAGCGTGGTGGGGACAGATTGGTGTGGTGGAGATGAGGAAGCTGGTGGGGACAATGAGCATGGTGGGGACAGACTGGCATGGTGGGAATGATGCAGTCGGGACGATGAAGGCAGCGAGGACAGATTGGCATGGTAGGGATGATAAGCATGACATGGACCACGAAGGCAGTGAGGATGATGATGGCAGCAGGGACAGGCTGGTATGGTGGGGACAGATTGGCATGGTGGGGATGATGAAGGCAGCAGGGACAGACTGGCCTGGTGAGGACAGAAGAGTGTGGTGGGGATGAAGGCAGTGAGGACAGATTGGCGTGGTTGGGATGATGAGCGTGATGTGGACAATGAAGGCAGTGAGGATGATGAAGGCAATGGGGACAGACTGGTGTGGTAGGGACAGATTGGTGTGGTGGGGATGATGAAGGTGGTGGGGACAACGAAGGCAGTGAGGATGATGATGGAGGCAGCAGGGAGAGACTGGTGTGGTGGGGACAGATGACCATGTTGGGAACAACAAACATGGTGGTGATGATAAAGGTGCCAGGGACGATGGGTGTGGCGAGGAAGGATGAGCACGGTGGCAGCGACGAAGGCGGCGAGGACAGCAACCATGGCACAGGAGACGCTGGGTGGACGCCCCACCACCCCCTGAGGGAAGAGGGGGCTGAACGGCCTCTCGCCAGCCCCCCGGGCCCCCCCCCCAGCCCTGGTTGTGCTCACACCTGGTGTGCTGCTGGAGGTGGGAGAGCTGGCGGAAGGACTTCTCGCAGTAGGAGCAGTGGTAGGGTTTGACGCCCAGGTGGATGCGCAAGTGCTGGGCCAGGTACGAGGCGTTGGCGAAGGATTTGGAGCAATGGGGGCACTTGTGGGGCTTGGCCTCTGTGTGCGACTTGGAGTGGATCTGCATCTCCGACTTGGTGAAGAACGTCAAGGGGCAGACCTTACACCTGGAGGAGGGGGGCAGAGAACCCCGCAGGGACCAGGCTGGGGCAGGGGGGGGCACCCCACCATCCCCCCGACCCTCCCCGAGCGGGTAGGGGGGTGCCTACCTGTATGTCTTGCCCTCTTTGGCGGTCTCCCCCGAGGCCAGGATGGGGTAGGGCACCACCAAGACCGGCGGTCCCGAAGGATTTTCCGCTTTGATCTTCTTCCGGCCCCGTTCCGCCTTGGGTGCCCCCAGCAAACCATGGCCCTGGATTGTCTTTATGGAGTCAAGAAGGGGGGGGCTGGTGATTCCTGAGATTAGGGTGGGCGAGGAGGCGATGAGGCGGCTCTGGCTGGTGGAGGTGGGGGTCGATGGGGTGGTGGTCCCCGTCCCCGTGCTGGATTCGGAGGTGCTGACTGCCGGCGCGCGGGAAGCCAGCCCCAACCCTGGCAGGCAGCGAGATAAATCACAGAATCATTCAGGTTGGAAAAGACCCTCGGGGTCGTCGAGTCCAACCCTCAGCCCGACTCTACAAAGTTCTCCCCTACCCCACATCCCCCCACAGCTCATCCCAACGGCCCTTAAACACACCCAGGGATGGGGACTCCACTCC